TACTCCTCATCACAGCCCCATTTCCTACTCCCATCTCACTTAAGTCCCTCAAGTCCCCTCTTGTTATTAGTTACCTTTTCATCACTAGTACAAAATAACCAATACTGGAAACTTAGGGGATAAGAGGTTTATTTTGGCTCACAATGTCAGTGGGTTCAATACATGACCGACCAGCTCCAAGGCAGAAAGCAAATGGTGAAAGGGCCTGGGGAAGGAAAGCTGATCCCGTCCATGGTGGCCAGGAGGCAGAGAGAGAAAGGAGAAGTCAGGGACAGAAATACAACCTACTTCCCACGTCCAGTGACCCACCTCCATGCGGGCCCCACCTCCAGACAGTGCAGCCAGTTATGAATTCATCAATGGACTAATACACTGATGTGTGTAGTGCCCCTGTGACCCAGTGCCCATCCAAAGCCCCCATTCTGAACACAAGACTTTGGGAGAATATTTTAGATCTAAATCATGACACCTCCTATTGCACTTAGGTAAAGAACAAACTTGTTAACATGGCTTACAAGGCCCTATGTTGTACACTTCCTGTGATCCTGTTCACCCTTCATCTCTGAGTCCCCAGGGCTGGCTATGGGTCTTAGCATATTCCCCTCCTCCATCCAGAATGAGCTTCCCTTTGGGTCATCTTATTCCTCTCTTTTATCTCCCTCGGGCATACCTCCCTCCAGAAAGCCCTGGTGGCCTGTCCTGCCAGGGGGCCCAGTGTGGGCTCTCCTAGCTCCACCCTGGCATCTCTCAGTCTCAGTCTCCCATGGTCTCACCTCGGCTCTGTGAGAATCTGAATAGTCTGCTGCCCCCACTGGGCCATAAGCTCTGTAAGAACGGGGACCGCATCCTTCTGTCACTGTTTCTCTTCATGCCTAGTGCATGAAGGAAGCTCCTTCTGATTAGACTTTTCTGTCTCCTGGGGTGATGGATGAAAGGCAGCCTAGGGGAGTGATAGAGCCCTTGTCTTCAGCAGAACTGGAGTCCAGATCCTGCTGCACCACTGATTCAGACTTGGAGCTGTCATCTAAGTAGAACAGCGATGAGACCCACCTCATAGGCTTGTCCTGAGAAGATGGGGCATGCCCGGTACAAACTAAGTTTCTTCATCTACACTGTTATCATGTAACTTTCCAAAACCCTACTGGTGTCTTCTTAAAATCCCTCTTCAGCACCCCTTTGCAGCAATGTGCTCCAAGGTAAGAGGCTCAGATCCTGGGAGGATGAGGTGAGGCGAGGTGGGGAGGAAGAAGGCAGACACTTAAGAGGGAGGGTCGTTAACATGAAGACAAGACACCACCTTTAAAATTCATTTTTTATCTCATTGTTGCAAAACTTCCATTTCTTGGATATGTTTTAGAGTGTAAACAATACTTGTGAGACAGTGCTTCGCTATGTCACTGAAAAGGATTGAAATAACTTTTCTACCTCATTCAGAGCAGCTTTTCTCAGGAGGCTGGCTAGGGAACACTTCACTTAAGGGATTAGGCTTGACATTGTGGACAGTGAGAAATCTTTGGGATTTTTGAAGCAAGGTGATAGTAACACGATTAGTATTTCTAAAGCTTAAAATAACTGAACTAGTAGTAGGGGGCAGGATGAACTACACCAAGTCAGTCTGCACACAGGCTGACCAGTTAGGAAAGTACTGTCAAATTATAGATGGAATAGGTAGTTGGGGGTGGGAGCTTACATCATTGTCATACAACAGAATTAAGATGAACTTAGCCCAAATTTCTAAGCTGGTTATATTGATGATAATCGATTTGTTGATGAGTTTTCTTTGTAAAAAAGTTTTCTTCTACAAAAGGATTTGTGAGAAATCTCTTTTTCTTTTAAATTGCAAAATCCATAAAGATTTCCCTGCAATTTTCTTAAATTTATTGTATATGGAAAACTGGTTGTGCAGATGCAACATGTTTTGTAGATTTATATTTCTTAAATTTAATAGTTCTCTATAAAAAAGGTACACAGTGCATTAATACAGTTAATATAAATAGCCTATAAGTACATAAAGTATGTGCTCAATTTTTTTTTTAACCCATGGGATATATTACCTTGAAAGTATGGAGACCATAGATTAAACTCATCTAAATGGGTTGAGTATTTATTTTCTCTGAGATTATAAACAGCACTCTTGATGGAGCCCCATTGATTATATAGCCTCTGGAGTGATCAGCATCATGTCCATTTTTATCCATAGCATAAATAAAGACCAAAATGAATGAAAAGTATTGGGAAGTAGGAAGAAAATGTTCAAATGCAAAGGGGAAAAGGGGAGGGGGTAAGGGGTAAGGAAGGAAGGGAAAAGGAAAAAAAGAGAATAGAAGGAAAACTGGAAACAAAGCTTTGTACATACGGAGAAGAAGAAGGGTTGAAGGGAGCGGGCAGGAATGGGGAAATGAAGCATCAAGATATATTATGCACAGGTACAAATTCCCTATGATGAATGTGGTCATTATGTATATCAAAAGTGTATCAATAAAATTAGTAAAAAATAGTAAGACAGGAACAAAATCTTGCCAACAAAATAATTTCAATGCACAAGAGCTTACAAAAGAGATCATTTTTTATTATATCTGTAAAGCAATAAAAAGGGAAAAAGAAATTTAACAGAAGTGGCTGCCTTTGTGTTTAGCAGGACAGCACCTTTGCAGGAGGGTGGGAAGGCGCTGCAGAGCATGTGCCTCGCACACAGACACACATGCGCAGTCTACACGGGCCACTAGCATTGTCGGCAGCGCAGACTTGCATATGCCAGAGGGGCCCGCCCAGCCACTGCTCCCTGCCAGGAGGTTCTCTTCAGAGCAAGCCTTAGACGGTGGGGTGTTTGACTCTTTCGCTTTATAGGTCAGGAAGAATCTATCCTTTCCAGCTCTCCACGGTCAAGGGCAAGGGGGTATGAGGGAGGTAGCCTCAGGCTGTGGAGCAGCCAGCTGGCCCGATGCAGGTCCAATGCACAGGCGCTGTGGTCTCTGTCCCCACAGTCTGTCTGTACATCAACAAGCGTGCCAACGCCGGTCCGTACCTGGAGAGGCAGAAGGTGCAGCAGCTCCCAGAGCGCCTGGGGCCCGAGCGGCCGGCCACGGTCCTGCAGCAGGCCGTGCAAGCCTGCATTGACTGCGCCCACCAGCAGAAGCACGTCTTTGCCCTGGTCAAGCAGGGCCACAGCGGCGAGCTGGTGTCAGGTAAGGCCTGGGGCGGGGTCACGAGGAGGGCTGTGAAGAACCCCTGAAGAAGACCTCAGGCATGTGCACAGGCTGTGGGCGGGGCTCCCCCTGCTGAGCTCCAGGGTCCTCCAGAAGTTGCTTCCAGGTTGGACAAGAAGAGCAGACACCTGAATCCTTGCTCTTGATCCCCCTGTCTCCCACCCCCAGTGCCAGCCCCTCAGTAAATCCTGTTGCTCTGTGTCTTGGTTATTTTCTCTTGTTGCTGAGACAAAATACCCAATGCCCCAAATTAAGGAAGGAAAGGTTTGTTTACTTCACAGTTTGTGGAGGTTTCAGTCCATAATCAGCAGGCTGCAAAGCAGGGTGGCACATGGCACAGGGCAACAGTTCATGGCAGCAAGAGCAACAAGAGCGCAAGCGGGGCGGGGACGAGCCTCTTTTCCTCCCTTATGCTCTACCTTCAAAATGCATCCAGAATCTGTCCCACTCCCGACCAATCACTATGATTCTTTTAAAAAATCTAAGTTAGATCATGCCTCTGCCCCCCGCCCTGAACCTTCCAACGGCCCCCATGTCACTCCAGGTACAAGCCCAAACCCATACGAGGGCCCACAGGCCTCTGCGAGCTGGCCTTGGCTGCCTCTTCAATCTCGGGTCATCATTCTCTCACTCGCCAGCCTGGTCCAGCCACGGTGGCTTCCTCATTCTCCCTGTGTCCTTCAATCACACTCCTGCCTCAGGGCCTTTGGACCTGCTCTTCTCTTCCGGAATGCTCCTCCACCATGGGACTCGCTCCTGGAAATCCTTTAGGTTTCTGCTCCGATGCCACCTTATCACAGAGTCCTTTTCTGACCCCTTGTCTGGCGCATCAGCCTCTGTCCAGTCTGCTTTACCCCACCCTTTTGCACAGCACTAACATCGTGAAGGACAGCAGGGAAAGTGCATGATTCCAGCGCCATCTCAAAGAGGCCTTAAAAAATCCTTCCAGATCACAGCGATTCCCTCTGTTGTCACAGCTCTCCTCCAGCTTCTGCCCCAGCTTGGCAGCTTCCAGAGGGGCCATGGCGCCCCCACCACATGAGGGTGCGGAACGTGTGCGCCATCCCCTCCAGATGTTTGCCAGCCTCACCCCCGGCACCGCACAATGGTGGTCATTACTTGCCCTTCAACCCGGGAGTGCCAGGCTCTTGCTCTGTCTCACGTCCCAGGGGATGGCCTCATGTCTCCCGTGGATCAGCATCATAGACGGCATCTTCCACAGCCCAAGGAAAGGGAGAAGATTCATGGCAACAGGGCAGTGCAGGTGGCCCTGCTGGCCGGCTAGGAAAGGGTCAGGGGAGCAGGGCTTCTGAGATGGCCGCATCCTGTGTAACCAAACAGCGGCACTTCGTTTGACCTCAGCGCTGCGGCTGGGCGCAGGGGAGGGCCCTGCTCACCACCTCCCAGCTCCGATGCAGCCCGCTTAGCTTTCAGAGCTGGCCCTGCAGGCAAGGTGCTTGCTGGAGATGGGTCAGAATAGACCTTGGCAAGGCGGAGGTGTGAGTCTCTGACCAGTGTGATTTTTAAGAGATGTGAGCAGAAACAGGAGGAAGTACCAGGCCAAGGGAGGAGGGGGAGAGTCCTGTGGTCAGCTCCTCTGAGAGCTGCTTGGCTGGTCCTCTCCTCATTTCTGTCTAGAAGCCAGGTTCTGGGTCAGAGGCAGCCCTCTGAGCCCAAAAGCCTTACTGCGCTGTGGGGCCCACGGCACAGACCTGATGCTGAGGAGACCCCTCCGCACTCTGCACGCACCCCAAGTGGCCCTCGTGTGACTGTGCGGTATGAGCTGGAGAGCTGACTCTTCCTGCTGTCCTGGCCAGGCCTTGTCGTGACCTCAGGGCCTTGGCACTGGGGAAGAGAGGGCCAGAGTGGACAGAGCCTCAGCAAGTTTCCCTTGGTTGCAGGGACTCCCAGGAAGGCCAGGGTAACGGCTTCTCTTGGCATTTTGGAGAATGGCATAGACCTGAGCTGACCCCTTAGGCCACCGCCTTGAGGTCACTAAACAGAGAGGTAGCTCTGCACAGACAGAGCTGGAGGGTCAGCAGGCCACTGGAGAAATGGCTGGTCCTAGAGCAAGGAGAGTACAAGATCAACCCGGGCCGCAATGAGGCCCTGAAACCAAAGAGGTGCTAAATAACAGGGAGGGGATGTCCAGGGGCATGGGAATCATCCTGGAGGAGCTCCCAAGGTGAACCCCAGCACAGAGGCATCAGTATAACCCACAGCACAAAATAAATGTAATGCAACTGTATTGAAATTAATAAATGACTGCATAAATAAATACATGAGAAGTCCTGGACGTTTCCCTACAGAAGAATTCCAGGTGACATGTGGAATTCTTCCTCCTGTTTGGGTGTGTGGAAACTTTTTTGAGACAAGGTCTTGCTCTGCAGTTCATGCTGGCCTTGAACTCACTGTGTAGCCCAGGGTGACCTCACTGGCAGTGATCCTCCTGCCTCAGCCTTCCAAGTGCTAGGATTAGAGGCACGCAGCACCACGCCCAGCTGGACTTCTTGTTCCCCAGGAACAGAATGGAGCAGTGGTGGTGAACATTTTAGAGGTTTCAGTGATTCAGCCTGACATGTGTGCCAGAGGTTCACCACCACTGGAACAGGGACTCCAGCAGAGGAAGGTGGAGCACCCCGCCTTGGCCAGGTGGCAGAGGTTAGCAACTCCAGTCTTGTCACATGAGTATCGTGTATCCTTGATCTGTTTGGTGCAAAGGGCCCTTCACCCCTGCTTGTCATCCCCAAACCCTATAACCCCAGTCTAAGCATGAGAAAAACAGTAGACAAACCAAAGTGAGGGGCATTCACACAATTTCTACACAGCACTCTTCAAAGCTGTCAGGCCAGTGAGAGATTAGGAAAGGCTGAGAAACTGTCAGAGACCAAAGAGACGAGGGGACGTGACAGCTAAATGCAACATGGCATCCCGGATGGGGTCTTATAACACAAACAGGACACTGACAACAGGTGAAATCCAAGCCCAGCTTACTTGACAGCCGGAAGCCCCTTGTCGGGGCGGACTGACAGGCAGAGTTCTCGGTCCCAGCTGAATCGCTGTTTCCGGTTGTCCAGTCTCCGCCTCCTTCGATGGAAAGCAGCACCTGCGGAGCCTGCCCGTGATGAACAGCGTCGGCTACGTCCTCCGCTTCCTGGCTAAGCTGTGCCGCAGCCTCCTGTGTGACGACCTCTTCAGCCACCAGCCCTTCCGTGGGACTCTCAACGCCTCTGAGAAGGTCCCCGAGAGAGAAGCAGGTAGGATGGAGTCAGGTAGGCAAGGCCCAGCTTCCCTTGCTCTCGGGCCCTTACCCCAAAGCTGGGAGTTCTCTGCAGGCTGTGATCGCCTCTCTGCATGACCCAGTAACACTCAGAGCTGGCCTAGATGGTCCCACCCCAGGTGGCAGTGGGGAGTGGTCTCTCCTGCTATTAGCCGACACTCTTTGAGACCTGTGTGGCCAGCATGCAGGCTACAAGATCAGAGCACATCGAAGAAGCGATTTTTCTTCACTCTACTGTCACTGAAACTCTGGGAATATTTTGAGTAGTTAAAGAGTTAGGAGACCAAGGAACTAAGAAATCCAAAGAATCTAGGGCTAAAGAATAAACAGAGTCGATCCTGCCTGGGAGAGTGAAGAAATGGTGTGCCAAAGTGTCTATGGCTGGGGGAATGTGGCCATGTATGCCACGTGCTCTGGTGAGAGGCGGAGCTGCTCCCACCACAGGATGGGAAGTGACCCAAGGGTTGGACTCCTTTTGCACCAGCAGCCACAGTATAGCTTAGGGTGGAAAAGTGGCCAGGGGAGGGTAACAGGGCCACCCTGGCAAACTTGCCACAGTGTCGTCTGCAGCAGGGGCTCTGTGTCAGTGGGAGGTGCTCCTTCCCCACCGAGCAGCCCTGGGGTGCAGATTTGCAAAGAGCTGAACATGAATCTCAAAGAACAGCAGCCATGTTCGCGTTCGCCTTTTATCTTTCTTTGGAAGCGGTGCTATTGACCTATGATAAGCACAAACGACAAAACTAGAACCCAGCCGATGTGTTACTCGGCAAACGCTTGTAGATACTTCTGTTCCAGGCACTGTGTGGAGACCCTGCTTGACAAATGCTTGAGCTTAGGGAGCTGCCTGAGGAATAGACGACTATGACAGATAATGGGAAGCAGTTAGATCTGTCTTTATAGGCAGGTTTAGAGCACTGAACAAAAAGAAACTTAAAATACAAGTGGTATAGCTCAAGCAGGGAAGGAGGACAGCAGGGAAGGAGCTAAATTTAGATCCTTAGTATAGATTTTCTTGGATACTATCAAGAACTTTGCCTACAATTTTGCTTTCATCTCCCTGGGACCCAGGATATAGGAAGAAATTTGGCCTTTATAAAGAAAGGTGCCCACGGGTGGTGTGAGCAGATGCTATGCATGTTGCTATTTTTCTTCATTTCTCCATGTGTGATTTGGAAAAGGTCTCTCTCTGGGCCCACATATCCTATGTTCAGTAAGAAGTTGGAGGTGCTGATACAGAACGTTTCTGTTGGTTCCGCTGTTTTATGAATCTTGCATCTCCCTGAACCACAGCTGATGCAGAGACATTTTTAAACAACTTTATTTTCTGCTGAATCTTTCAATGACAATAGCAGAATGATGTGATTTCATGTCTCAAACCCCTGCCTCACCATTACAGTGATCAAACCATGACCTATGAAAGTGACAAATTAGCCACAGAACTGATCTCTTCCATTGTCCTTTAATGTCATCCTGTGGAACTAGTTCTTTCCTGACTGTGGATAAAATTTAGGGTAAATCTTGTGTTTTTTTCTGGTTCTGATCCTGTTACAAAATGTTGTCTAGTCAAGAATTAATATGCCCAGGTCAGTGTGATGTTTGAATTTCTTTTTAATTTTATGTTAAAGAGAGAGCTCCACTCAAAGATATAACTGCTATACAGTCTCTCCCTGCTCAAGCTTGTTTCCAGCCGCTGGTTGCCCCCACCCCATGCTTTTGGCCCCTCCCCTACCTACTGCATTTTTTTTTTCAGAATCCTTCACCTTATTGTGAGGAAAGGAGAGGCAAGGGTGGGCGAGTGTTTACTAGGATAGATCCTGCTGTGAAATGCTTCCTGGTTCCAGCAACTGTTTTTAAGCAGATTCCTCATTGCTGCTCCTTCTGTGAATTCTTTGGTAACTCGACCACCTATCACCTGTACTTTCCTTGACATGAACAGATGCAGCTCTTCTCTGGATGGTCATTTACAGCTCCTCTCCTGGTCCAAGGGCTCTGGGGATCAACTCTAGCTTCTTTCTGCTGAAGCCCCTTTGTCTCTCCAGATTGTCCCGTGGAGATGACGTAAGCAGTCCTACAGTAGGTTTCTCTTCTGATGGCCCACATCTGGTCCTTGAAAAACGCTCACATACTCCCTGCCCCGGGAAAGGAACAACGCTGAGCCCTCCAGATCTCCTTTGATCTGCCAGCCAACTGCATTCTTTTAGATTTCTTGTGAAATGCAAACAATAATCCATTGTCTCACCCAAGTTCCAGAGGACTCACAACGCTGCTTTGAAACCACTGGGAATAGCTTGGAAAGTTCTCTGCACAATTTGTCTTTTGATTAACCAGTTTCTCAGCCCCTACAACCTTGTTTGCAGGTGCAGTGTGGGAAGGGTGAAACTGCTTTCCACCTTCTCTTTTCATAAACCTGCGTGGTGGCCTCACACTTCACTCACATAAGTATCTATTATCTTGCAGCCTCAGCCAAAACCAAAACTAAAGTAGAGTCTTTGTAACATCTCATCCCAGAGGACGGTGGCCTTCCCCAAAGCTTATGTGTTCAGCTGAGAGCTGGTTTCCTTCCTAGGCAGCACAGGAAGCTGGGAGGTAATGACCTCAGTTGTCAGAGGCCCACGACTACTTTGCAAAACCAAATTGCTCCTCACGTTCTATGTATTGCAGACCTAATGTGGTGTCTGTCACTTGTCAGGGAGCCAGGAAAGGTGAAGGAAGCAGTGGGGGCAGGGTAGGGGCTGAGCGATCCTCTTGGCCCTGAATGTCCTCTCCGTCTACCTTGAGCTCTAAGACGCCGCCCTAGGGAACTGGCCTTTACAGGAAGATGTTGTACTCCTAGGATTGCCTTGTCACAGTGCCTTTGAGGGGCAACACTGTTATGGTAGAGGATGAACTCGTTTATCATCTACTTTCTCATCACTGTGACAAGAAAGGCATATCCAAGGGCAGGGATGGAGTCCATCTCACACTTAGCTCCATGCCGGCCATAGGGCCACATCATCCCTGAGTAAGACTTCACGGTCTCCACCCCTTTAAATCAGAACAGCGCCCAGGCCCGCTCCGGCCTGAGGCGTTTAGTCCAGGCCGGGTCATCTCAGTCTTAGTGCCACACACCGGGAGGTTTCGTCAATACCACAGAGCACATTTCCTGCAGACAGTTCATTCAATGATGGGGAAACGCAACCAAGACAACTGACAACTCGGGCAGCGAAGGAACTATCAAAAGAATTGGGGTGTTTGTGGAACAAGAAAAGGAAGATTGGGGGAGGATGGGATTCCCTGTTCCAGAATCGGGCAGCAGGTCATGTGGATTTGCCCTTTGGAACTGAAGAGCAGAACTGAGAGTAGGAGGTTAGAAGGCAGATTTAATTAAACGTAAGGTCCCCCCACTCAGTCTGGTCGGGGGCGTTGTCCTCCCCCGGAGGAGGCGGGATGGAAAGCCCTCCCAGGCCTCTAACAGCTGTGAAGACACGTTGGAGTTTGAGAGGTGGGCTTGAGAAACACTCCTTCCGGGGGAGAAGCAGGCAGTGAAATAAGCAGGGGAGCACTCAGAAGATTGTCCCTCCTGAGGTGGGTGACACATTGTAAAGAGCTCTGAACAGTCAGAGCCATTGAGAAGTGGAGGGGGCTTCCAGGGTGGGAGGGATTAGTGGTTTTCCCATGCTAGTGACAAATATGTACAGCCCTTAGGGCCCTGGAGGCGCAGGAGCAAGATGTTCTTTCTGGTCCCTTGCAGGCTGATAGTCATGGACTGGAGGTGACAGAGGCCACCCCCGGGGAGCAGGAGGAACAGGTGCCCTAAGAGCCCCAGCCAGGGCCTCCAGAGGAGGAGACAAGGACACCAGTACAAAGTGACTCCCCTTAGAAGAAAAGCTCTTCCTGGGGACAGAGGGAGGGCTTCCTCCAGATCTCTGCCTCAGAAATTTCAAATCTGAATTTTTCTGCAAAGGATCTTCTTCCTGTGTGCAGGGGCAGTGAGGCTTCAGGACCATCAGCTGCTCAGAGCTGGGCGTTCTGGACTACCCAGCTGCTCAGAGCTGGGCGTTCTTCCTGGTTGAGACCAGGAGGTGCAGTCCTTCGCCTCCAGTTCTGTTCACGGACATCCAGCGTGGCTTGTGTTCCAGGAAGGAAGGCAGCCTTCTGGATGCAGCAGGAGAACGGAGACAGCAAGATGGACTTGGACACACTGGCCAAGGGTCGTGACATGACCCTAGGGGAAGTGTTATCTTAGCTTTGAGTGTTAAGGAAAGTCTCAGCCTCCCTTAGTGGTGCTTCGCCAACTTTGCTGCGCTCAGGAACCACCTGAACATCAGCATCTGGCTGAAATGCAAATTCTGGTTCAGAAGGTTGGGCAAGGCGGAGTTGGTGGGAGCCCTGAATTTCTAACAGGTGCCCAGAGGAGACTGGTGCCACCGGTTGGGGCCACACTCAGTGGCAAAGTGTGGGCCAGCAGAGTCTACCTCATGTAATGAAATTCATTTCCGGTCTTCCGTGTGTCCATGTTAAGGTGCTTCCTCTTCTGTACAAATGTTGCCCCTGGAGATGTTCTGAAGTCCAGAGGAAGTGTCCCCCAGGTTAGAGAAGAAGAGAAGGACGTGAGGAGTGGGGTCAGCGTGACACCAGTATAAATTCAGATAAGAGAGAGATCGGTGGCTCCAGGGAGGAGGGTGAAAAAGGCAGGATGATGAGAGACACATTTCTCAGTGTGGTCTCAGAACACCTGCAGGGCCTCTGGGACCCTTTAAGCCTCTCCAACCCTGAAAATAAACCCATCTGTTCTTTTCTGACCGTGTTTCCATGCCCACAATGCCACGTGATTTTTGCCTTAGAGTGTGGGGTTCTGGGTGCAGAGCTTATTTCCTCTCTCACTGCACCCGGAGGCACGCTGTCCCCAGCCAAGTCTGGCACACCACAAGTACACAGGAATATTACCGACTTCAAATCTATGTAACGCTACAGCACAAACTGCTCCCTGAGAGTAGAAGATCTTTGGAAACC